CCGCTCATCTCAGCATCCTTCACCAGCCCCTCTTCTCCCACCTGCTGCACAGCAGAGTCCTGACCTCCCTGCTTATCTACACTGTCCCCCGGGCTGCGTCAGCCTCTCCAGAGGCCGACAGCGTCCCCAAGTCCATGCAGGCCACCTCAACCACTGAACCGATTCTGGAACAAATCCAGTTTATGCACCCGCCACATCACCCCTCAAAGTCCCACAGGCACCCCCAAGGATGGCGCCCAGGAGAATGTGGGAGGTGGTGGAATGTTCTATACCTTTACTGTGGTGATGGTTACATGACTACACGCATTTGCCAGACGACACAAGCTCACACTAGAAAGGGTGAGTTTGCTGAACGCAATTATGTCTTAATTAAAAAGCATGGGAAAGAGTTCCACAGCCGCCTCAGGCCCTACCTGTCTAAAACCAACATCACCACTTTTCCCCAGAACAGCTCCTCCTCCTGCACCTCTGTTTCCAGTAGTGACACCAACCCCCCTGCCACACGCCCCCCAAAAAGCTCCTCCCCACAACTAGAACTCTCAGCTGGGTGGCCAACCGGCCACAGCCCAGAAACACTACCTGCACAGATTTACACTCTCTTCAATCTGTGCCCTGCATTCTACCTCCTCGCCCACCACCTGGGACTCAGGCCGCCCTGACTTCTCACAAAGTGCCTCCCTGGGCTCCCTCCTTGTCCACCCTGACCTGCCTTCGACACTCTGCACACTCGTGCCGGCCAAGTGCCCTCCCCGCAGCAGTGCCTAGGGGGCAGGCCAGGCCTTTACAAACCCTGCTTGGGCCTCAGCTCTGGGGCCTTTCTCTCCCACGGAAACCTCACTCATCCTTCAGGCTCCAGCACCCCAGCCTCCCAGTGTAGCAGGCTGCTTCCCTAGCCCTTTTCCATCAGAATCAGCGGCACTCCACCTGGTTTCCCACAGCGGAGAACCTGTGCAGTCAGTCTGCCCTACAATCTTGCCGCCTCCCGGGCCGACAGTGCACTTACCGGGGCAGGCAGCCACCTCCCTCGCTCTCCCAGAGCCCTCCACGCAGCAGCTGCACTGGTGAGTGAGTGGTGGGTGCTCAGGAAGTACTTTCTAGTCTCCCAGGCCGACAGTGCACTTACTGGGGCAGGCAGCCGCCTCCCTCTCTCTCCCAGAGCCCTCCACACAGCAGCTGCACTGGTGAGTGAGTAGCTGCACTGGTAATGTTTAGCCTACAGTTTAGTTCAGACCAGAAAGTGCTTCCTGAGCCACTTTCTGGTCTGAACTAAACTGTAGGCTGAACATTACCAGGAAGGATACTGTGCCGAGCCCGCCTGTTCCCTGACCCCACTGAGCTAAACTCACAGTCAGAAGCACAGCTGGCAGCAATGCTGCTCAGAATGACCTAAACCGCTCAGGGAAGATCATACAGGCTGCTTCGCCCCAACTTGCCCCAGAGTCCGCCCCCCCCCACTGCTCCCCTCATACCCCCTACCCTCCAGCCAGACTGCACACACCCCTGCACCAGGCACTCACCCACCCCATTGCCTCTGTTCAAAGAGCCTGCTGCCTGGACCAGTGCTACTCAGAGTGGCCCTTGGACTGGACTGCCATCCTCAATAACAGGAATAAGCATTTAGAAACCTTTACAGCGATTTACCCTTGTCATGAAGCTCTTCCTGGGTCTTCAAAAGCACTGGTCTGTAACGAATTGGGAAAAGAATAAAACCTGCTCCTTCACCACAGGGAATCTGGGAAACACTGTCCCCTCACCCCCACCCCTCAACTCCCGCCTCTTCCTGCTGAAATCCCTCTCCTCCTCAAAAGCCCAACTCCGTGCCTTCGCTTCCCAGAAGCCTTCGCAGTCCCCATCGGCTAGAAGTGGTCTGACCCAAAGCCCCTCGTCCCAACCACACGAAGAGCAGTGAGGTGGCATCTGCACACCGCTTCTGAAAACTGCCTGTGGCCAGGGACCCCAGCCCTGCTCATTTTTACATTCCCGACGCCAGGTTCAGGCAGCTGTGTGGTCAAGGGGGAGTAAATCACCAGATCCACAATCTCAGAGTCGGCTTTGCCTCAGGGGCAGGGTGTGGGGGGCACCAACCCTTAGGGCACAAAGGGATTTCCCAGGTTTGGGCCGCTCGCCATCTCCCTCAGCCTACACAGGGACAGGAGGGCCTGAAACGAAGCCAGTCAATGGCTCTCGAGACAAGAACTCAGTCATTATTCAACCACAACAGATCCCACAATATCCTGAAATTGGAGGGAAAACACCCCACGCACACACTAGAAACCAATCACACCCAAGTATAAAGAATAAAGAGATTCTCAGGGTCATTTTCAACTGTCAATATTCTGTGGGGCTCTGACCTCAAAACTAAGGGTGTAGGGCTCAGGAGCCTGTAATCACACCATAAACGATGTGCTCGTGAACAGACCGATGGACAGCCACTCGGGTTTGCAAAGTGCAGAGAGATGCCCCTTCTCAGATGCCACCAGCAGACCCTACCCCTGCCACAGCCGAGGCGGGGCCGCGCACTCCCCACTCCCCCTGGCTCTCCTCTCCTGGCCGCTGTAGAGCAGGAATGCTGGGACTATTTCGAGATGCCACTGTCAGATCAAGACAACGCTCTATCTAAATATTCCCGTCTAATTCTGCACACAGCTCTTGTTACAACTGACAAAGATAATGACACAGTGTCCGTGGCTCTTGACGGAAAATTATCCTGCCAAGTTTGGAGCTTCCCAATAAGGGACTTCTCTAAACTCTCTGAGAAAAGAGGAGTGACCTCCCAGTCCATATTCTTTTCTACAGACAACAAAGGCACCCAACAGACCCCCTAACTAAGCCAGGAATGTTACGGGAAAATCCTGATACGTCCACCACAGGGTGGACAACACGAAAGGGAAACTCGTGGTAGGCACTTGGAATGCTTTTTCCTGCCCTGCACAGTAATCGCTGCTTTTCAGTTTTTGTGCAGCCCATTCGTTTAGGGCTTTGAAGTTTGGGGCATAAGTTCTGCGTCATACTGAAGACAAACTCTGGACTCAGAATTAAAGCATCTTTCTCTGCACGAAAAGAAAAGCCTCACTGTCTTTCACACTGATGCTTCGATCAGCTATACAAGAACTGCACCAGTGCACTCTGGGGTAGCCTCTCCCATGCAGGGGCACATGCACGTAAACAGTCCTACCTATTTACCATGCAGGTAAATAGACCTACACGTATGTTTGAAATGTGGCCAGAGACTACCTCCCTGCAGATGCAAGCCTGTCGCCCTGCCATATCACAAGATACAAGGGATGTCTCCCCCCAAAGCCAAGATGTGTAAAACATCACCTTGGAAGAGCCACCTGCGGATAACTGAGTTGGCCTTTCTGCCAGCATTCAGACAGCTTAAACTTGTTTGCTCAATATTTGACAACTGCCACATGGGTATTTCATATGCATATCCCCATGGTCTTGCAAAATCCCCAAAGATAGAAACCACCAGTTTTCTGCTTCTTTTGCACTCCAGGCCCAGCCAGTCACTGCCGTGCATGCAGCAGGCACAGTAAAAACCCGTGGGTTCTACCTTCCTCTTCTCTTCTACTCCCCCCGGTGTGGAGGGGTGGGGGTTCTCCTTTAAAGCCCAATCTCCATGGTTTAGAGCAGGAGGATACAACACTATCCTGTTCCCTGTTACTCATGGTAAGTCTCAGGGGGCCTCTGGAACGCCTGGGAATACTCTGGTTCAGTTTTACCTCAGTGGTTCTCAACCTAGAGCAATTTTTGTCCTGTAGGAGGTATTTTTGGTTGTCATGACTAGTGAGCTAGGGACCACTGGCATCCAACAGACACAGGCCAGGGATGCTGCCACATGTCCTCTAATGCACATTTCAGCCTCCCCACAGCAAAGAACTGCCGGGTCCAAAATGTCACTAGTTTAAAGGATAAGAAAACCCTGTCTTAAGTGACATACAGGGAAATGCTCATAGCACTCGGTTCGCCTTTCCTGAGTTGCCTGAGGCCATGGCAAGAATTATAACAATGCTGCATCGTCTGCATGATTTGGAAGGCTGAACAAAACGCCCAAAGTCATGGCCAGAGTCTTAAAGATAATGCTCCCCTGAACCACCAGCACCCCTTTGTCTCTTCTCAGGAGCAAGGCCCGCCTCCCATGATGACCCACCCATCCACAGTGACAACTGGCAGGCTGGCATTAATGCACACTCAAATCCCTTGGCAGCACAGTAGGCCTGGCATGCCCAGCTCTTTCTTCAGTCTTGGCCCGACTGAGCAGTGAGGGTGGACAAGTTTCCAACAGGCTGCACATGGGTCTCTCGCCCTTCAGGAGGCTGCCATCTCTTACCCAAACAGGCACTCCAAGCATCCAGTCCTGCCCCTGAAATATTGTCCCCCCACCCCCACCCCCAAGGCATATGCAAGAACTAGCCTGGGAGCAGGCCAGAGCAAGGCACGAGTTTAGGCAATTAAGCCCAAACCACTCACAAGACCCCCAATGTGTTCGAGAAGCAGAGGAAGGACCACAAGGGCCCCTCTTCCCAACGTTGCCCAAAATCCCGACCTGTGAAACCCTGTTGGCTCAAGTCAAGAGAATCCAAGTTCTGGCACAAATTGGAAGCCTGGGGCAGTCAGAGCCGCAGAAACAGTGCAAAGAGGTCTGGGAATGAAGAGAAATATTATCACGAGAAAGCGAGGCAGGAAGCTGTCTTTGTGACTAAGAGAAGCGGCGTCTGACAGCCAGTCGCGGAGGTTGCAAGGTGCCTTCAAGAACCCGAGGCTCGGCCGGAGCCCTGGTCCGCTCTCAGCGGCAGGCCCAGAGGGTCGAGGAGGGCACAGGGGTGAGCGACATCTGCAGGGCCCCCACCCCTCATCCTGAGATCACGGCCAGTTAAAGTCTCGAACGGGAAGCCGTGCTGTCATTAAGAGGACGCAAGAACTGCCCAGGTGGGTCACAGCCCGTCTCTGCCCGAAGGCAGACGGGTGCGTGAGCACGCGGTGGGCGACAGCCTTACCCCGGGGCAGGAAGCTGGGCCTCGGTCACCTTCGCGCCGCCTCCGCGAGTGCCCCACAGCCAGCGACTGACACGCGCTCGGGATCTGTTTACCAACTCGCCCGCGCCCGGAGACTTAGCGCCGGGTGCCCCGGCTGCCCCGCCCCGCGGGCTGCTCCCATTGGCTACGCAGCCGTAGCAGGTCGAACGCTGTAGGGAGCGGAGGAGCGTGCTCGATCCGTGCTCTCGCCAGCAACCAATCAGAGCCGAGGGCGGAGAGAGAACAGCCAATGGGAGGCTTCTCCAGCGCGCCTGGCCCTTTCCGTCTTTCCTTCTCTGCCCTTTCCCCTAGTTAGGAAAGCTCTGGTTTAAGGCCGGGCGGTGGGCGAGGGGGAGGTGGGCGAGGTGGGCTTGCGCGCTTGCGGCCCAACAAGAACTGGTCCTTCCTCGGAGGCGAAGCCACGGATGAGGTTGCAATGGCCAATGTTTTGCCGTCCACTCCTTGCGGTGCTCGCCCGGCCTCAGATCGGGCCTGGAAGGGATGCGATGGAAGGAAAAGACGGGACTGTGGGGGGCCCCGACTTGAGGACCGGGCGTAGCCTGTACGGTGCCAGTCTGGATGTGTCCCTAGGGCCCCTCCCAGTTTCACCACAGGGCGCTTGCTGAAGGGGAAAGTGCTTAGGTGTCCGGCCCCACCTACTTATCCTTTCTCCCTGGCTAACCGTGTTGTCTTTCTACGGGCGCCGTCCCCAAAACCGGAAGCATGTGAGCCTGAGCGCTGCCGCCGGTACCTTCAAATCGGGGTGTCGGGGTGGTGGCCCACAGAGCGTGCAGCTCCCGGCTGGGTTCAGACCACCCGAGTCGTTGGTCCTTGCCTGCCAAGTCTCCTCGCTGAGGGTACGGCCGGGAGACAGGCCAGCACGTGGAAAGAGTGGAACCGCGCGCGGCCCACGCAGTCCCGCGCGGGCTCCTTGAGGGCGCCCCCGAGCGTGAGAAGCCCTCTGAGACGCAGAACCACCTTGAAGGAACTGCTTCCCTCCACCAACATTTGTCCCAGATCATTCCTCTCTTTAACCAGAGAATTCGGATCCAAGCCAAGGTGTGCCTGACAGTTTCCCCTCTGGTGATTCCCAAAGGCGGGTCTGCAGCTCTGTCCAAGGTTGTTACTGGAGCGTGCGGAAAAAAGGAAAAACAAGAACAATTTGGTGAGTTTTTCATAAAGCCGTTCAAGCCAAAGGATTGTCCTTGCTTCTGAGACTGTTTTTTTGGATTTAACGTTTAACTTTGGGGAAACTCGTTTATTTTAATATTAGAAAAATTAAAAGCTGTTCTATGTTGATGCCTGAAATGGGGGGAGGTGGGAGTTCATTACACAGGCACACCTCCCAGAGGTTGTGGTTGGCTTCCAGACCACTGAAAATTAAGCAAATGTCAAAATAAAGTGAGCTGTGCATTTTTTGTTTCTTTGTGGATATAAAAGTTATGCTTATACTATATTATAGTCTGTGTGCAATAGCATTTTGTCTAAAAATACAATGTACATGCCTTAATTAAACAGTACTTTATTTCTAAAAATGCCAACCATCAGCTGAGATTGCAGCAATTCAGTCACATCTTCAGGTTCCTCCACTTCTAGTTCTAGCTCTCTTGCTATTTCCCCCACATCTGCAGTTACCCCCTCCACTGAAGTCCTGAATTCGTCTGAGTCATTCATATGGATTGGAATCAGCTTCCAAATTCCTGTTAACATTGGTGTGTTGACCTCTTCCAATGAATCATGAGTGTTACTTTTTTTAAAGGCTGACAATTTTTAAAAGATTTTTATTTATTTATTTTTAGAGAGGGGGGAAGGGAAGGAGAAAGAGAGAAACATCAATGTGTGGTTGCCTCTGGCGCACCCCATACTGGGGACCTGGCCTTCAACCCAGGCATGTGCCACTGATACAGGGTGCAGCCAACAGGGGGGCCCCAAATAGGGATTTGGAATGGGGTCCAGAACTCAGTGTGTCCAGGAAATATTAGAAATATATACAGATGTCCTTACCCCTTCCCCCAACAGGTGTGAGTTGGGGGAAGGGACACATGGAGCTGTAACATGCAGAGCTGTGTTGTACAGCAACAGCTTTGCAGCTAACTTCTGGCCTGGTCATTTAACATATCTATAGCCTTTAACTGGTTTCATAGATGTGTTAAATAGCTGTGGCCATGCTTTGAGCCAGGGGGATGGAAGTGACTTCTACCCAAAATGTAACCGGGGGGCAGCTCCCCCTGGTTACGGCGCATGCATGAGAGCTTGGAGAGGATTGGCTCTATGACATGGGGCCACATCTTCCCGGACTCACGATGGCAGCCCAGTAAAGCTGGAAGGCTAGGGGAGTGCTGGCAGGTGTTACTGATTGTAGGAGGAGTCAGAAATGGGGCTGCAGAGGAAGCTGGCATGGGGATTTAAACCCAGATTCGGCAGCCATGTGAGGAGAGAACTATGCGGTTTTGCCAGGGTGGGGCCCGACCCCTGCAGTTTTGGGGTGCACTCCATGGCCACGTAGTTTAAGGAACAGGAGAAACTTTGCCTGGAAGAAAAGGGGTGAAAGGACTGTTGCTTGTGGGTGGGCCATGAGAAAGCGACACATGGCTTTGGATTAACTGGAGATCCTGACGACGCAGCGGATGGTGCTGGGAGCCCGAATCACAGACTTCTACTTTTCCTAGATAAGGTACCCCAGATTAGGGCAGGGGAAGAAGGAAGGACTGTGTGCATCCGTGGGTATCCTAAAGGACTTTGATATTTTAGTGAAGACATTGGGTCACTACTTTAAGCCTGTAGAGCTTTAAATAAACATTTCCTTTCCTTTTCACAAATCTCTGGCATTGAGAGACATCTTTCCTCTAATGGCAGACAAGCCCTCTTTGGCCCTGTTCTGGAACAGTTTTGGCATCCCAGATGGGACAGTATTGCCCATGGCAGACTGACCCCTCAGGTGCAAGAGAGTGAGATTTTGGAATTTTCCCAGTCTCCGAGAATTTCTCTGCACTCCTCCTGAGGGCATTGGCTGCCTAATCACGCCCGGAGAGATGAAAAGGAAATGAAACAAGGAACAGAGCAGATAAGTAAAATGGTTTGGTTGAAAACTTGTTTCTGAACACTGTTTTGGAAAAATGGAGTTGTGGATAATGGTTTGGTTGGCATGCTGCTTCTGGGTTGCCCCTGTCTGCTCACTCACAGTTTCGGTGAGCCCAGGTGGAACCTGTACTCAGGTTTGGGGAAGAAGCAAACCCCTAGGCTCTGTAAGCCGAGCCTGCATGTGTGTTGGGGATCGGACAGCAAGCCATGGGGGTATGCCGCCATTTTGGGTAAAATGGAGGATGAGCCACATGAGTGCCCCACCATGGAGGACAGATCATGCATGGGCGTCGCTGTCTTGGATGTTGGGTCACGTGCAAGTCCTGCCATCTTGGAACTGGGCAAGGTGGTGGGCTAAGGGTTCTCTTCAGATTATGGGCTGTGTGTTGCTGCAGTGTGGGCTCTGCACCAGTCAGGTCCTCTGTGCAACTGGTTCTGATAGGGGTGGCTCTGGTTCTGAAGGTCATGAACTGGGGTCCAAGGGTGACCATCTGATTTATAGGATGTTTGCAAGGTCTAAGCTTCGGAGAGCTACAGGACGTCCCTGCAAATCTAGGGACTTTTAGTGAAAGGTACCTGTAGTGCTGGGGGCTTTTGGCTGCCAGATACTGCGTTTAACTATAGTCCTTCCTAGTGTGGGAAAGGAACAGTGAATGATGGTTAAATCTGGATGAGTAAAAATATGTATAAAGGTTGTGAAAGTTTTAAACCTGGAGGAAAGGAAACCTCAACTGCTTGTTTTTTGGTTTTGTGAGAAAGGGGCAAGTTTTTCCCATTGATTCTGTTTCTGATCAGAAACCTCTGTATCTGAAGACCTAGTGAAGGTCACCTGTAACCAGTTGGGAAGAAGGTCTTTGCCACTCAGGACCCAGGAAGGGTCACTCAGGGCTGATGAATGCTTCAGCCTGAGGCAAAGGAGCAAGTCTCTGCCAAGAGACCAGGCCTGAAAGAGCATGTCTGTGTGAGGCACCAGTGGACGCAGTGGTACAAGAGAATGCCTCTCTGGAACTCTGTGTTTGGATTTTGCTCTGTATCTGCTCTGAAAAGGAAATTGAGGATTCCAAGGAAGGTTAAAGCTTCACATTCTGTAGAAAAGTGACCAAGGAAAAGTGTAAGACATGTAAATGAAGAAGGTATATGAAAGAATATAGAGGGTTTGTGAATGTTGCAGAAGGTCTGTGGAAAACTGTAAAGATAAATGAGAAAGTGTATTGAGCCAGTGACCCTTTGGTTTTCAGTCCAGTGCTTAATCCACTGAGCTACACCAGCCAGGGCATGAATGTTCTTAATGGCATCTAGAATGGTGAATCCTTTTCACAAGGTTTTCAGTTTGCTTGACACAGAGTTGCCCCAAACCTTCAGTTTTTAAAAAAACACAGTATCTGCAAAGCCCATGAAACAACTATGCCTGCACTGCTTTAAGCACGTGGCTTTCCCATGATGCCTTGACAAACCACTGCATGGGAAGTTCTGGACTAGGCAATCGCCAGAGGCTCCTTCCCCTAAAAGATTTTCTTCTATTTTTCATGTTTAAAGACTTAATTTATTTACTGTTAGGTAGAGGGGAAAGAGAAAGAGAAAGAAGAGAGAAACATCAATGTGTGGTTGCCTCTCATGCGCCCCCTACTGGGGACCTGGCCCGCAACCTAAAGCATGTGCCCTGACTGGGAATCCAACCCACCACCCATTGGTTCACAGGCTGGCTCTCAACCACTGAGCCACACCAGTCAGGGCTAAAGATTATCTTATTTTTAGACACTTTTGAACATTTTAAGTGAATTTCATCTTTCTTTAGGTAATATTGATAAATTCACATGATTTTTAAACAAGGTTTTTAAAAAGTTTAAAAATGTATTTTTAAAAAGATTTGCAGTGAAGTCTCTCCCTCCATCTCTCTCCTGCCCACTTCCCAAACCCAGCGCCCCCACACCCTCCCACACAGATGTGACCACTGTTACTAATTTTATCATCTCTTTTCAAAGTCTCTGTATACATATATAGGGAAATGC